GAGAAAGAGAAAAATTTCAATCATATAATCAATGTTATTGACGATTGAACATTTGTAGTACTAATAGTAGTAGTTAGAGGAAAAAATCTCCATTCAGCCATTGTCATTTCTCCTATCTAATTAAAGCAAATGATAATGCCCTAAAGCATTTATAGTAACATGAATTTTCTCTTGATTTTATTCGTTCATATAACTGCTGGTGCTGTGCTATCGGATTGCAATTGCCTAGTTCTCTTTCTCCTTTCCTTTTTACATATGTTATTCACAAGCGTCATTGTTAGTAATGTCGACAAGGTTCATTAAATCGACAATGCAACAGATTGATTGTCCACAAACGGATGATCAAGTTGAATCGTCGTCGTCTCTTAAGATACATTAGATCTGAATGTTTGAAAGACAGAAATCTAAACCTCGATGTTAAGTAACAGATGGAGAAAAGAAGAAGAAGATGATAATGATGATGATGATGATGAAGAGAGAAACACCTACATGTGAGATACGTAAATCCTCAAGTAAATAGCGCGTGTATGTATGTGTGTGTATGTGTATGTGGAGGAACACTCATCTATTCTTTTCTTTTCATTCAATATTACGTCTTTGCTTCTTAAGATGGTGACACGAACAAAAAAAATCTTTGTCGGTGGACTTTCAGCCAATACAACTGTGGAAGATGTAAAAAAATATTTTGAACAATACGGAAAAGTAAATCATCTTCGAAGAGTGTTCATTAAACAAAGATTTCTCCTTTCGTTGTCTTCAGGTAGAAGATGCAATGTTAATGATCGATAAACAAACTGCACGCCATCGGGGTATGATTTCTTTTAACGTATGATTTTTATTCTCTTTCTCTCTCGCGTTTAATTAGGTTTTGGTTTTGTTACTTGGGAGTCTGAAGATGTTGTTGATAAAGTATGTGCCATTCATTTTCATGAAATCAATAACAAAATGGTAAATATTTTCTTAAATCAAATGTAAAATCAATATTCATTCATGGCAATTTCTCTTTTCCAAGGTGGAATGTAAAAAAGCTCAACCCAAAGAAGTTATGTATGCTCAACAAATGGCTAAGGGCAAAGCAGCTTTACAACGTGGTGCCTATGGTGATATACTCAGTAAATGAATCAAGTGTTGTTTAATTCTTTGTACTAAGTTGTTATTCTTTGTGTTCAGGTGCTTATGTATACGGTCTTAATCGAAGTATTCCGACGACATACGCTGCACCAATCTATCCCTTTTCACCGGGTATGTTAGTTGACTTCGAAAAAGAAACGTGTCTCTTTTTTTCTTTCTATAACTGAATCTTTTCAGCTATAACAACGAGCTAATAATAAAAGAATAAATCTAATAATCAGAAACGAATATTTCCCGTATGTGTTACCTTCTATTTCGTAGATTTTGAGTATTTCTAGAAAGATAGGCTAGAATATATATATAAAATAATAATTGTAGTTTCGTAATATGTTAGGTACACGTATTTCTGCTCGTTGTTCTAAATATTTCTCTTGTAGAGAAGAGTAGTTGATATATGTGTGGTTTTTTTTGTATATGCACTATATTTTTGTAGAAGGAATATCTCATAATGATGAATGGTGAGAGTGTGCTAGATATGTCTAGAAAAACATCATATTTTTGAGTAGTTCTTTTTATTTTTATCATCATGTTATCATCTTTTTCATTTCTTGATTATTTAATTAGCCGATCAGCCATCGATTTCATCTTACTATTCGCAACAACACGGGTCACGTACTCAGCAGCATCTTACATATTTCGGTTCGGGAGTCTCTAGAAGAACGCATGTCGACTGCTTTATCCTGGCCCGTGTGTAAACATTCCTCTATCCCAATTTCCCTGCCAGTCATCATTGATCTAGTAATTCTAACGACAGTGAGCTCCTATTTTCCTGTTCCCATCAATTTGCTAGGAATTGCATGAGAGTACAACAAAACTTGATTGATTTTGCAAGATTTCTTCGATAATTAAACTAGAAAAGACATTCATTTTGCTTGATTAGGTTTACCATCCGCGCAAATCAGTTATATTCCGGCCGCTGTTGGATTACAAACGCCAACATTGACTCCAGCTGGTGAACAACGCTACTTCGAATATCCATTAACACAGCAGATTCCAGCAGGTGCTGCTTCACTTCATCGAGATTCATTATTACAGCGAAGTAAGATTTTCCATCTCTAATTTCTCTTCGACAATCTACTCTTTCATATAGGTGGGAATGGATTAGATTTCTTTCAAGCAGATCCACTTACTGCACAATATTTACAACCCACAAGTCCGTCACCTGGCTTACCCATAGCTGTAAGTGAACAAAGACGACGTGCACTGTTGACTAATTTGATGTTTTTCGCTTTTTAGACATCACTTTTGACATCGCCCTATGCTAATGGTTTTCATGGTCATTAAAACGTTCTTTCTTTCGTTCATTTTTTCAATCGGTAATAAAGAAGAAAAATACAGCTTCAGCTTTGGATGTCTCACTCTCGATTATTTAGACATTATCAAGTCGACTGTACATTGTTTTCATTTTGTTTTGTTCATTTATGTACACCTGCTCTACTCTCTATTCCCACCGTTTTCGTGATCATCAATTTCACCTACTCTCTTTCTATCTCTATCTGTGTATTATCATCTGATTACAGTGCAAAGCCCTGTTTAAATGCATACTCTGAACAACAAAAGCCAAACGAATATTTGAATTTAACATCAGAACCCAATTGCAGTTTTCATTCACCGTTATTACCATCGAATTTCTTCACCGTCATATTTGTGTGTGTGTTATAAATTTTTTTCTTTTCGACATTCCTTTGTATGTCATTTGTCTTCCTTTGTTTCTGGCACACTGCTTTTGAAAAACTATACTATCACATATTATTTTTTATCTGTTTGTTGCCTCTTGTTTAACTCTTTCTCTTGTTCGATGCTTCTTTTCTCGTTTTCATTTACAAACATCTTTGTCGGCGACATGCACGTTCCTTGTTGTTTGTTTCGGACCTTGATTTTGTATATGCTGACCGTGCTTTCTTTGAGCATGAGCAGTTGTTTGTTTGTTTTTTCTTTTTCTATATTTCGGTTTTTTTTTCTGTGTGTTCCTTTTTTCCAAGATAAATAAGAAAGAAGAAAATAAATTAGAAACGATCGACTCAAGCTTGTCCGTGTTTATTTTATTTTCTCTTCTCTGCCAATTGTGTAATCAGTGATCTAGATTAGCATTGAGAGAGTGTCGATATCAATGATTAGAGCTATGGAGCAAAACTGAAGCTTTGTCGTGTTCGTATCACTAGATCAGACGAGAATTTCTTCTTTTCATCTGTGTGTTTTCTCTATCATTTTGTCGATGTTTCTATTTTGCACTTAACATGGTGGTTTTTCTTCTTTCTTTTATTTTCTCAACCGGTTTGTCTCACTATTTTCTCTTCCTTCTATTCAATCCCTCGTTTTTCTCTCATCGAATTGAATTATCTGCAAATAGTGTGTGATTGCTTCTATTTCTTGTCATTGTCGTTTTCTCTTCTTCTTCTTTTTCTTCTTCTACTCCGTGCATTCAACAATAAACCAGATCTCTGCTTGGTCAAGCAGAAATCTATTCACTTCATAATAAACTAACTGAATTGTCGTTTTAAATTATTGATAATTTCATCAACGAATAGACATTCTTTTCAAGTCAGAACAATGACTCGAGAGAGATAATATCCAGCTGCTTCAACATATGAGATATTCACAAGCAAAAAAACATCTTCGATCAAGTGGCGCACTGCGATAACAGATACACAAACAGATAGGAACTTGTGATGATAATTTTAATGGAAGACATACTTGTGCTGTCGACACCAAAGTTTAGTGTTGTTAAATAGAATATGACAGATAGCGTGGAGAGAAGTTTCATTCGATCGTCATCGAACATGAATATGTAAAAAGGCGATTCGATCGAATTTCGCGAAGACAAAGTAAAACTGACTCGTTTGTTTCGATTTAAGTCGATGATAAATGGCCAATTTTGTAATAAAACAATCTCAAGTCTTATCACGAGCAATTATCGGACAAGACAACTTCAGATTTTATGACATATCAGCATTTATTGACACGAGTACATAAAATTGTTTGATGAATGTAATGGTAAACATGACATCGATTGCTAATTGACCGTTGCATTGCTTGTAGTGGTTGGATGAATTCGAAATTTCTCCGGTGCGATTTTGCTTAAGCAAAGTTTCAGTCGTTTTAACAAAACTTGCCGGAATAGATTACTCATCAGTGTGTTTAGGTAGAAACTTTTGCAAAAGTTCGCATAGAAAAAGTAATTCGATATTTGATAAAGAAAATTTTCCCATGCCTTTTGTAAATCGCTTTTGCCAGCATCAGGTGATAGAACTGAATAGGCGTAGTAAATCGTGCGAATGTTGAGTAGAATTGTACTTCCGATCACTTGTATTAGGGTCATTTTGATTAAATGCATGTCGGTGCGACTTTTTTTCTTATCCGTTTTCATTTCTTGGGTCAAACGTCGACGGCTGATCCTAATGTTTCGGTAGGTCATCAAACCGAATATTAATAGTAGACTTTGAGGAATCAAACTTGTCCAGACAATGCTGTACATCGAGAGAAAAATTGAATAGGCTCCTGGTTGGGCGACGCATTTCGGTCGAAGATCAAAATAAAAGAATTGGTGAGAATTAGTCAAGCAATAGAGAATGATTGGCACTATTGTTATACGATAAGCTACTTTGATTTGACTAAATGCCCGATAACGAGTTTTCTCCGATGTTGACCAGCATCGATCAAGCGAAGACAAGACTAAATAAGCCGTTGAAATGCACGGAAGTGTCCATGTTGTGTAAATACGAAGTTTACAATAGGTTCGGGATGTGTTTTGATAATTGCTTCCGAAATGATCGCTGCATAATCTTGTTATAATAGAAAAATTAATAAGAGAGATATCGAAGAGTGATGACATAAGAAAATACCATCCGCAAGAATTCCGCCGTAATTCTTTCGAAGTAAATGTTAATAGATTTAAGAAAGAACCAATATTTCCCACGAATAAGATTACTATTGGAATATATAATGTTATATCATTTGTCAGTTTGTCTACGGCAGCGGTATTCATGACTGAGAGTGTTTACAACGAGTGTCGATAAGATCTGAATGTTATTGAAAGGAGAAAAAGATTAATAAGAAAAGCGAGTTCTTATACATAAAGACTGTCAAATGTTCTAATGAATATTTTTTTGTGGATGTCGAATCATTAATGACGGTCTATGAATGCGAATTAGACAAATAAACAAATCTGATATGTGATTAAGGCTGCTGAGTTGTACTTTGACAATGTTTCGAAGACAAATAAAGATATTAGTTTTTTTGTGTCAGGATGTTATACAATTTGAAACCAGAAAAAAGTAATCAGATGCTTCAAAAGTATTATGCAAAATCATGATTGTTTTGCTCGATAGGATTCAGAAGAGAAACTCATGTGTAGGAATAAACAGAATCTAAAATAGATAAGGATTTATTTGAGGAAAAAGACCGAGTGAACTAGTGTAAAGTGATTTGGGCGTGAATAAAAGGAAAGCTAAAGTTCAATGAGCTGTTGTTGCTGCTGGTGGATTCGCATTGTTTTCTGTTTGAGCTTCGATACGCTGAATTTTTCCTGTTGATGAGAATGTATAATTTGTGTTGTATGTCTTGTTGTTATATGATATACGAGCTCGAGCAGTCGTTGCTGCATGATCTACATTATCAGGAAAGTGAACGATTTTCCAGTGCGCTGATTTATTATCATTGTGTTCTTTTGTGTAATACTGTTGTGCTTCTTTGACATCTTTATAGACTGTTTGAGAATCGACCGTTTTCACCACGTTTGCATCGAGATATTTTTCAAGATTATTCAAGTGATTGTTATTCAATGCTTCGGTAAATTGTTCAACTGTATGCTTATACGAATGACCCGTAGAATGAGTTGTACCAGCAGCATGCGTTGCGCCCGAATGATGTGTTGTACTAGTTGAATGAGACATCGTTTTGGTTTTCCAGAATGAAAATGAAATGTAGAATGTGTTCTTTTTTATAGGCGATAGATACGGAACCTGTTTTTGTTTACGTGGCCTTAAAAATGAAGCAATTGTTCTGATCATTAACGAAAATAGTTCGATATCATATAGAATTTCATCGGTTTTTTACGTTTTCACCTATTTTTAATGATGTAAGTCGATGAGGGGGATTTTTCTTTCATTTCTTCAATTAAGTTTTATTTCGTTAAAAAAATTACCATGTAAAAAAATCATCATTTATTGAAAGCACATAGAAAAATACGATTGATTGTCGTAAAAAATCTCCCAGTTTATCTTAGATTTACTGATGAAAGACTAAATTACTTGTAATGATCGGTTGAGTCCAATCAGTGGTGCGTCGCGATCAGTTTTGCGTAGTTGTACACATAGAAATATCGCAGCAATAATGATTACAAGACTAACAATGGCCACGACAAGAATGATTATCATCGTCGAATTATCGCCGCCAGCTAAATAAGAAAGAGACCAGCTTTTTTTGTGAAATCTTTGGAGAAAAACTAATCATTTACGCATAGGGGGCATCGGTGGTTTCTTTCGAGCACATTCAACATCAGGTGTGCCTGGAAAACGAACCTTGTAAATATCAGTAAATGTATCAAATGGACAATCAGCTGTTGGACAACCATCTAATACATATGGATAAGGCATATTTGAATCAGTGACATTTAAATATTCCACTCTGACAAAGTACGATGAACCTATACGAATAGGAAAAAAGGAAGATCTACGGTCTTGTTCCAGATATTCTTGATTATACCTTTTTGATAAAGATCGATAAATACAGCTGATGCGTACTAAACGACAAACAAATGGAAATGGTATGATTGTTTTCCGAAGACTTTACTTGTGGTTGATGTGGATAATTGATACCCAGAAAAGCGAGAACAGGACTGACAGATGTATCATGCTATTAAAAAAATGAGAATAGCACATAAAAGACCGGCTCTTCTTTTGAAACTCACTGCTGAATACATTTTCACCTTTCGAAAGGATTTTCCATGCACTGAATCATTCATATTTAACCAAACATCCTGTACCAATGGGCCTAAATAGAGTAGCTCTTTTCGGAATACATTTCCATAATCCTACCTCCTCGAATTCGTTGACTGTCATTGTTGGCGAAAAGATAATGAAATGCAAGATCATTTATATCCGATAAATTCTTTCGAACGGAATCATCTGCCCATGCTGGAGTTTTGTTATAAATATGCTATGAGGATAAAAAAAATGCAAATCCTCATCGTACTCCATGACTTCTACGATTCATTACTTCAACAAATATTGTGTCAGCAACATCCCAGGCGTTGTATACTGTTATATTCGTCAAACCGGTCCATTGTTCAAGTTTTTGAAAGAATGGCTAAAGGAAAAGCAAAATCAGTTTTGAACGTTTGACGATATGGAAAATGTACTTCATAATATTTGTTCATTTTTTTTACTTCGTCACTTTCGTTTATTTCTTCTTCAATTTGATCGTATCGTGGACAATCATTTTGTCCAAGTAACTAAACAAATGAAAGCTAGTTTGCTCTTTCGATTCCTCGATCTTGACTCAACATACAAAATCTAGATTAATTGAGACAGTATGGATGGGCATTGGTTGAATTGGAACATTATCGGATGTTATGTTCTCGACTGGATAAAGGCCGACTACGTTAGACTGGGCGGACATTAATGTTCGGTCCACATCTGTTGAACGAACAACAATTTCACTTGGAATAAAAGTCGCATTGAGTAACATTCCGTAACGATGACGAAGATAAGCACCAAGACGATGTTGTTGTTCAATACCAGCTTTCGTCAATTGTCCAAAACTAAATGAATTGAGATGAAAAACATCGGCGGTGCGAGAGAATCGAATACCCATTGGGCCATTCACTTGGCTTGACTGGATCTAATGGGAATGTTGTTACAGGTGTTCGATCTCCGTGTCTGTACAACTGAAACAAGCGCATACAAATGATAAATTTCCGATTAGGAGCATGTGGAACGTACGACATGACCGGCGACAAGTTGCATTGATTGACCATTGATGTGCTTTGCCGCAATGCAAAGAAGACAAATGAAGACAGATAAAATCGAACTTCCCATCATCATTGACAAGATTGAAAATATCTGAAGGGCAACTTTGCAATAAATTTTCATTGATCGATTTTCAAACGAAGAAATTTCCGTTCGCAATTCATCAAACTCTCATTTACAAAAACGATGAAAATACTTGTCAAATATTTTTTGTTTTTCGACGAGCAACGGAAATGCCTTCGTCATTTTCAATTTCCACTTGAAGTTTGCACTGATGACACACGGAAACAATCATTTCTTTGGTATTGATATACTTTTCCCATTAGAAAAAACAAACAAATATATCTTGTCGTATGATTATCTTTACACTCATAAGCAATTGCCAAATCATTTCCTATCAGCTCGCGTACAACCTCAACATCGATTACAAAACGAAACAATACAGATCTAAAAATAAGACAAAGAATACAGTCAGAGAATCTAAACAATATCAAGATATATTCTTCTTCTGTAATATATGACAAGAAGTTACAAAGCGTATAGATGATCGATTTCTCGCGTTGAAATACAAAAAAAAACTCTTCTGGAAAAGCATAAGATATTTCAATAAAATATTGTCATTTAAACAAGGAAAACCCATCGTATGACTAGATTCTACGACGAAAAAGAGAAAAGAAAAACGAATGAATAAATACATTATGTATTGCGTAGTTCGTTAAATATCGCCAAAGGGAAATATTTTATGTGTGTATGCCATTGGGAGGAAATTTGAAAGAATTTTACATTACTCCATTCTTGTCCATCGACAGTGACTAAAAGAAGGATGTAGGGATGAGAAAGTTTTGATTACTCAAAAGACACTTTACCTTTTAACTCCACATTTTGTGCTTTTGAAGTACATACAAGACGGTTAATACCTGTTATCACTTGTGGTTCAAGTAACTTTGCATTGGATAAATCCTTGAGCTTCTTACCGAATTTCATAACTGAAAAACAAAGATGAGAACGGAAAATAATTTGCATAGAGACCGAAATCTATAATAATTTCGTTTACAAATTATGTTCTTCAAATCTTCTGTTTATCTTCTCATTTCTACTTTTGTTTCATTTCTTATCGATCACTCGTTTTCTACAGTCTCTGAACGTTTAAAACGACAGGTAAACGATTATGCACCAAAGTGTATAGTTCAAAATACACCCCTCGATCAATCGTACAATTTTGCTCAGAAAAATGACACGCCGACATCGAGAAGAAAACGATTTGTTCTCTTTCCTGAATTTGAACTTTTCTTGAATGATTATCGTTACGTCAATCGAACATACGATATGTCCTATTGGATATCGAATTTTTATCCCGATCGGTTGAGAACTGATTACATTCATCTTTGTCTTGAGAATATCATGAATCAAATTAGTCAAGTAATCGATCAACCGATCATTCCAGAACGAGCACCGGATCCCGGCAAAGCTAATTTTCATTTCGTATTTTTTGATTATACAAAATGTCCAACAGACTCTGGATCGGGCGCTACTGTTGACGGTGTTCAAGCTCTCGAAAAACTTTATATCTATTCGAAAAATCTAACACGCGAAAATCGATATCGTGCTCACGGAGGAATTCATATCGAAGAAGATGATTCACTTATTTCCGAAATCAAATTTAATATGCAGCAAACATTCCTCGAAGTAGCTGACTGGATTTACGATCCAGTCGTTTACACATGTAATGATGAAGAAAATCTATGCGACATAGATGCGCACTACGTTCTATTTCACGAAACATTGCATGGATTTGGTATCGAAGTAGAATTATTCTGCAGATTTGTCTTCTAATTCTTCGTTTTACTCGTTTAGCATACGACTAATCATCGAAAACCGGAAAAACCAAATCCCCAGATGCAATCTATAATGCATTTCAGTTATTTGCGGATTCTTTGTCACGATGATATACGAGCGATACGTGCAGTTTTTAAACTGCCAGTGATTAGACAACATGCCGAATATGATGATACATGTCGGCGTGATTTTCCGATGAATTGGTTACAAAAACTAATGTATCTATTGAATCGCTATTTAGTTCTAGGTTGGATTATTCTAGCTATTCTTAGTATCAGTACTTTTGTTCTAACACTTATTTATCTTCTCATTCGATACTGTTATCGATCGAGATCAACAGGAAGAGAAGCATTAGAAGGAACACCGGGCTTCTTGTTTAAAAAATCAACTGAACACAAACATACTGTCAAACGCTATGGTTATCTCTGGCATGATGAAATGCTTTGACATGAAAGAAACGCTGTACTTACTTTTCTGTTTCTTTTCTCGGGTGATGTAAGTCATCGTTAACGGTGATGAGATTTTTCCATCAAAATTTATTGTTGCTTGTCTTGTTATTGTTAACCAACGTATATTAGATTTTAATGATGATTTGATAGTTCGCATTCCTTCTCTCTTTTCTTTTTGATTATCGTTGTTGCCGACGATAGTCCAATAGTCCACTGAAATATCATAAGGCGATGTTGATTCATCGGGATGTGCTGATCGAATCAGACTACTGGTGATTTTCGATTGTGGAGATGTTGACATTGTTTGTGTTGGTTCATCATCGGACGAATCCTTTGAGTCGCGTTGCGGATGTGATGACAACGAGAGTGAAAGCGACTTTGATAGAAGAATATTGTCATCAACTGACGACATTTGAGATTCATTGGATGTCGACGATAATGTCCCAAGTCGAACATACTACAAAAAGTTTTTCAGCATAGATAAATATTTGAGAGAAGAAAACAGAATATTTACGGAAAAAAACGGCAAAAATGTTGGTGATGAATCTTCATCTGGTCTAAAAAGTTTTCGAAGAGAAATGAATTAAATTTACACATAAATTATCTTACAATCGTCCTTTTCGATTGAGCATAACTTCACCCACAGGTAAGGCCAATGTACGTTGAGATGTTTTCAAATATCGTGAAATTTTTTGTGTTAACTCCCTAATATCTGAAAAATATCAAAGTTCAACTCAACATTCGTCAACTTTTGCAATCATTCGACTTACCAATTGCTTCATTCGACGATTCAACTGCACCGAACAACGATTCATACTGCGAATCTAAAGTAGCCAGAAATTTTGCCAAATACGAAAAAGCTATGAGAAAAAATGAGAATTAATATCATGAGAGAACTTTCTTTCTTTTCAATTACTTAATGGTACAAAATAAAATCGAAAATAATTCATGTATTCATGGGGTCTTGAAGCCAAACATTCGACGTAGGATTGAAGAAACGAATTAACAAATGCATCATTACCAAGAAGGACAAGACGTATAACTGACACTTGTTTCGATTGACTCGTACTAAAACAAACAATGAGAATTCGAATACGAGATTAAAGATGAATTTGTCTAACTTTTTTTGTATACGTTGAATCAAATTATTCAAAACCGCTTTTGTATCAGCTAATGTGGACAATGAAATAACAGAAAGATTGTATTCTTTAAATTTCGATGCCGTAAGCTAATAGAATGACGATGGAAACATGTTTTTTTCAAAAAGAACTGAAGCATACATTAGGTTGATTGATTGTTGTATAAAGAAATATGACACTTTCTGGAAGACGGTCATTCGTATAGAGTTCATCGAGTTGCTTGACAGTACTCTATTGAATGGAGAACTTTTTCAAAGCATAAAAAAGAAAAGCTAACGAACCGTTGCAGGAGTGCGTGGCGTTTTTTCTTCCAGAACCGGTAACACTACCGGTGATGGTAAATTTGTTCGTTCGACTTCTATTCCCACATCCGATGATTCTGAATCCTTTTCATTATAATTACATAATACATTTCCTATACGTTTCTATTCATTCTACTTACTAATGGACTATCATTACTATCGAATGGGTTGGTTGATTTCCTTGGAGTATAAGGATCGTCTTCCGACTAGTATGAAATAGATCATTTTTAACTTTCTCGCGTTGTCTTTTTGCATTTCAACTTACAAATTTCAGTACTTGTAAATGCTCAACTGGTGTGAAACCTGGTTTCGGGACAGATTCGATACTCCATTGATCAACAGGTATGGTGCTGTCACTGATATCAGATGGAGGATCCTCTTCGAAATCTGAATGGTGATCGACAATAAAACGATCTTGTTGGTGTGTAGAAATTGTCGGATTTGTTGTTGTTGCATTACTCGCTGGGTTTGGTGCTGTGCTAGTTTGGTTCGGTTTTCTTTTGAACATTTTTATGATCTTATTTCGAATGACATTCGGATTGAATTTTTGCAGTTGTTTGTTCTTTAAATTAAATTCCACGTCACTATCTTCCAATTCAGAATTGATCTCTTCTTCTTCGATGTATTCATCATCTTCATTGAATGATTTATCTAAGCAAAATCGATTTTGTATGAGAATGAAACAAACAAGAAAAATTCTACCGAAATGTGAATGTTGTTTTCCTGTCATGCCGACTTTTGGACGTGCTGTTGTTGTATCTGTCGTTTCATTTGGTATTGTACTTGACAGATATTGAATCGAGACGTACCCAACAAGTCGTTTCTGTATTTCATCATTGGTTGTCACAAATGCTTCTTCATGTATAGTCGAACGAAGATTTTGTTTTACTTTTTCATTGGTATTCAAATACAAATACAAATCCAGACTTTGAGGACGTTGAATGACCTAAATCAACGTTTTTGATTAAAGGAAAATCTCCTGGGAGTCGTGTCTGCTGTCTCGGCTGCAGGAAAATTAATTTCAGATGAAAAAGTTCTTTTTTTTCGATTGTCTTTGTTGATTTCATTAGATCAATAAGCTAATTTAACTTCCGTAGCAGAACTCGATGAGCATAATACTATCTGTGCATTCTTGTCAATATTTGTTATTTCGTTCGTTAGATAAACCACGCAAAACATCAATCCTCAGCGTTTTTTCTCTGATAAACAATACATACTTGATTCAAATTGATTTCCCCCTTTGCCAATGTCTTATAACCAATCATCGGTCGATTCTTTCGACGTTGAACATAGATTTGAATTTTATTTATATCCCGTTTAAAGTAATGAGGGTACTAGAAAACGAAAATGTCATAACTAATTAGTTCAATTAATTAAAGAATGTCGAAGGTACTCACCGTAATTAAATATTGGAGATTAACTGGTGCGTCCAATGTTCCGTCTGGTTGAAGTGAAATTTCACAGCAACGAAATGTCCGTTTATTACTCTAATTAAATCGATTTAATTAGGCGCAATGTTGAATTGTGTTTTTCTTTTGTCTTACTTGAATTTTGACAGCAATGACAATCGCATTGGAGTCACCACCATCGATTGGACGATTTAATGCCACACGAACAATACTAAATTTACAAAGTCTAGAAGAAAAACAAAGTCTCAATAGATGAAACATCGACATCGAAGCATTTTACCTTGGGATACATGTTGAACTATTATCGATTTCTAATTGTGCATAGGCCATCAATGTCGTGGCCGTTTTGCTCGAGCCAGATGGGAGTGTTCGTGAAGTTTTCTCAGCCATTCTAGTGATATTTACAAGAACATACCCATACTTAGTTGTTTGTTATTTCTACGCTCGGCAAAAGAAACACATAATGATAAGAACAGGAGATAAAAAAAAATACGAGTGTGTCTAAATAGGACGTGATGGAGCGCTACAGTCGATGAGAAATATTCTACCATTCATAGCGTTTCATATTTCGTTATGTCGAAGGAGAAATGTATTTTCTGTTTTTGTTGTATATATTCGATTTTTGATAAAATTCTGTCTCAATGGTGCTATGGGGAGAGGCATTCTGGAGTGAAGGAAATCGAGGTTTGGAAGTTTTATCAACAAATGTCAAGAATGGAGCAATAGCTATCGACGAATTTCAACGATTTCTTAGTGAAAGGTATGTATTTAGTCGAAAGTTATGCAACAAGAGATAGTAAACATATCAATGAATTCTCTGACGTCGATCATACTCGACACACACAAACTATTTGTGTTTGTTTTAGTATTCAATGTGAAACATCTTATTGTAAAAATTTAGCTCGTTTACAATCGCAATTACTCAAGACTCAATATGTTGGCACGTTCACACCAATATGGATTTTAATACGTGATTTAATCGATAAAATCTCATCTATGCATGGAACGACGGTTAATCTATATCAAGAATTACTACGCGATGTTCATATACATCAGGAGACTTTTCAAAAAAAAGTCAAATCGCATATACAAAAAGATGTAGATATTACGAGTTCAGCTGATCTCATGTCTCAGTTAGGCAATGCTTTGCATACAGTGAATAAAGCGAAAGAACAGTATCAATCGATTGCTTTCGACTACGAACGAACGAAACGTGGTGGACATTCTACTTCGAATAATCTGTCGACACCCGTATCACAAGATACGAATGTTCCGAGTCTTGCTCAATCAGCGCTCCACTCTTTCACGACGAGACAATCAGATCGTCTAGAAAAGAAGTATCGACAAGCGCAAGATGAATACAAATCAACAATTGAGAAATATAATAAGATTCGGAGCGAATATCAAACGCGCTTCTATAACGGTAAATCTCGATTTTGTTTGAATGAATAAGTCATTGGATTGGTTTAGCTTGTACAAAATTTCAAGATTTTGAAATTGATCATATCGAGAAATTACTCGCGTATTCGCTGACTTATTCGGATATTCTTCAACGTTATTCCGAACAAATAAGAACGGCACAAACTGATTTTACGGCAAGATTGAAATCGTTAACTGGAAGTGATCTTTTAGATATATTTGTCGAACAAAAGAAAACAGGAACAGAACCACCAGGTATTTCACTCAAAAATCTTCTCTTGAAAATCGAATGATCGCTTCTAGTTGCATTACAATTCGAAGACGTTGACAGTCTTCGGCCATCCATCTTACCACTACCACCACCCATTGCAGATGCCTCAATTCCTTCAGATGATTTCAACTTATTCGAACAAATCGAGCCTAATGTACCTGCCATTCAAGCAAACTTTTCTATTCCAGTGACGCCAACAAAAACGATCGAAAATAGTCGGGGTAAGACGAACCGATTTCTTCGTATATATGATTAATTCTTCGCTTCAGCTCGTTCCTACCATCACCATCACCATCATATTCCTTTTTTTCACAGTTTGTATCGTGTTTATTCATGCAGAAAACTTAACGAGACACACTAGTCTTATCTCTTCCCCTAACCCATGAGTCTTCCAGCTGCATGTCGACTTTTATTGGATTAACGTCGCCATTTTTCTTTCACTCCAACACATATAAAACTCATAACGAGTTGTTTTTCTTTAGCATCGCTGCCAAGCACGCCGAGTAATCAAGTGCAAACATCACCTAATAATACAATCATGTCTCCTCCGATGAACCATCAGACAACAACAAACAGTCCAGTGATGTCAAGTAGTGCAACAGTTCAGAGTCAAGAAAAAGTGTTAAGCAACGAAAATTCGCCGAATCCGTTCGATTTGAAGATCCGCAAACCGAAATTTCCAGGTTAATTTGATTTATCACGCGTTGTTTCGAAGGAACATGTTTATGATAAACAAAATAGGATTTTTTGGATCGGGTCGTCGAGAGAAAAAGGATAAGAAAGTAGAGAAAAGCTCATCATTTACTGCAAAATCTCGCCGAGCTTTTCAAACGCAACATTCACGTGAAGACCCAGCTGGTCGAATGCCACCATCCTCGCAAAATGAATTCAAGGACATACATGGATCAATTAACGAAAACGATGAATTTTCATCCTCCAAACACAAAAGTACCGATGTATGCATTTCGTTCCAATACATCCTTTTCTTTCCATTGTTTCGATTTATGTTTAGTTAATGTTCGATTCGCTCGATCAGTATGAAGCGTTTACAGCACCTAATGAAAACCAGCAGAAGTCTTCGTCGAAATTTTCAACGAATTCCAGTGACTCGAGCGATGACGATGATGATGATGATAATCTAATGTTAAAAATCAATGTAAAAATTAATCCAAAGTCAGAAACTCCGATTGATACCGATGCGGATGATGATCATGCAAAAATCATGAATGCCATGCGTTTAATCGACAAGAATATCGGTACTTCCGCTCCAACTTCTCGTGTGCCGTCACAAGTAAATTCAACGGAATAAAAACGAACAAAAAAATCTTCTTTGTACATTTAATTAGAAGAACCTAGAACTCAATCGATCAACGACAAATGAACTAACCGGTACTAGACCACTCCCACCACCACCATTGCCATCACGTTCAACTATGTATAGAGACATTACCTTTCGAATCGAATGTATTCTCACGTATACGTTGGTTTTAGAGCAAAAACTAATAGTATTTCGACAGAGGGTTCTGATCAACTGAATATGTTTCCACCGCAAAAAGAATTTGATCTAATTCCATGGAATACGGTCAATGCTTCACCGGTCACAAATCAAGACGATGCTTTTCTTTCTCCTGAAACAACAACGATTGACAGTAACTTTCATCCTCCTAATGTCCCCAAATAATTATCCCCTTTAGATAAAAACTCAACATCAGTTTCATCGAATGAAGATGATTCCGAAGTGGCCAATTCTTTTTTCAATGATAATTTCATTCCAAAAACATCTCAACTGCCTGTTTCACAAACACCTTCATTAGGTCAATCGGATGTAAGTATTGTTCACTAAACAGCTCATTTCATCCCTATCCAATACACATGGTTTTCTCAGATGAAGGACCATCGAAAGTTCAAAACTATTCCATTTTTAGATTCTTGTCGGTACATTTGAATTCCAAACGATAATCAGGCAATTACTAGGCTTAACTCACTATTCATATCGTCGTAGACTGATTTTCGATGTAGAAATGACTTTTGGTAGCTTTCTATTAACCTTGACTTTTGCCAATCCGTTCATTCATTCATATTCTCTCTTTCTGTCGACTTCCAACCCTCAAAATACAATTGCTAATAAAAGGATACGGTGAACAAGGATGAAACAAGGACATAGAAAACAAGGTCATATTCGAAGTAAAATATTTTACTTTGTATCATTTACCTACATTTGGGTCCTTTGTTCATCAGAAGATGCTTCTTTTTGCTTAAATTGACCTTTTCTTCGACCAAGAAATATCAATACGAATGCCAATTCTTCGATCACATTTTTTATCACTAGTATGATTTCTTCTTTTCTAGTTGCATTTGAAAAAACCTTTTGAAATTCAAACATTTCAATAATTTTTCTCCTCGTTTAGCAACAACAATCAGCATTGTCTCCTGTTAACACTCCAGCGATGGCTCCTGTCAATATCAATTTTCGGAATAGTCCGATCGTATCTCACGAACAAGGCATGTCTCCTTTGACAGTTGGTGCTACTGATCAAATTCCACTTGCAGTTGCTTTCCAAGAAACGATTCATGTGATGATGTCGGGAAACAATCGAGAAAAGTAATTTATAGGTGAATGCGTTGGTTTATTTTGAAGATCTTCGTTTTAGTTGGAAAAGTCGAATTGTTGGCGAAATGCTCATTTCGTTTCCAGCATCTATTTTAACTTTACTCAATGATCCTGTACGATTTTCCAATACGTTGCAATTTCGATTGAAAAATCTCGATAATATTGATAAAATCAATGTCAAATCTCCTCCGATTACCGAGTAAAATCATCGATTTTTCAGTCTGATCGAGAATCCTTATCTACTTGTTCATAGAAATGAATCAATTTATTCATTTGACATGCCTGAGTTGCACAATGCTCTTCGTAGTTTACATGAGAAAACGCCTTCATCACGATTCTTTAATCTAAACACGCTGAATTACGAAGTTCGTCAATCGTTTTCTTTTTCTTCACTGACTTTGCTACTCTGTACAGGTTAATCATGCCGATCAACCCAATATACCAATTGAGATCACATCACAATGGTCACGTACATTTGATACAATATCAGTAAATATCAGTTACCGTTTTAACAGTTCATTCTTCCCTGACTCGATCCGATTTAATAACGAAACTGTGATATTCTATACCATCATAGCCGACGGCGAACAAATTAAAGAATCTTTACCGACGGCTGAATGGTAAGATCGGTTATTTGTTCTCTATCCCAATTCAATCGATCATTTCTAGGTCTGCAAACGAACACAAACTGTGGTGGAAAGTTCCATATGTTAAAAACGGAGCAGGCAATCTATCTGCAACTGTGATCACCGTGCAAGCAACTCCAGTCGAAAACGAAACTGATAATGAACAAAGCGAACAACCATTGACAACTTCATCTATTATCAATGCATATTTCATCGGTGAAAATGCACTTTTCTCCTCCATTGACGTCGATCTCACTTCTCGTGGTTATCGAGTTTCGTTACTGAAGAAGAAAATTCTTAGTGGTATATGTTCGCTTTTATGCTCATCAGTGAGGTTTCTATGTGAAATTTTTAGGTAAATATCAAGCGGAACCCGATCAAAGTGAACCCATTCATCTCTTTCAACGTCCGAATCGATCACCTTCATCTACTGATTAATAAAATCCCCGTGCAATATCACATCAAGAATTCTATGTGATAAGATATCTTGTTTCTTTGCTAATCATGCATTTGTTAGACGAATACACAGTATTAACGAGCAGTTTATCATTATTTTGTTGTTAACACTCAGTTAGTTACTATTAATAATTTTTCTGTTGACAATCATTGTTTGGCATTTATTTTTGTTCTGGTAAATTTGCTTCTCAATGATCTATGCAATTTATTTTAATCTTTTCTTTTTATTAATGCATATTCCGTTGTGAAAATGAGACGAAAGAAAAGCAATAAAGTTTAAAAATCGATCCCACGAGCCATCTTTTCTTTCAAGAGAACTATATCTTCTATCCATGTTTGACGAAATCGAAATTCGTTCGGTTGGTGAATGATGCTCATCGTTTCGAATGCGAAGAGAACTTTCACAGGATGGTGCTATCGAAACTTTGCTAGAAAAGATTTGTGATGAAGGAAAAGATTTACTTTCGGTCGAACTTTTGAAACATCGATAGTAAAATAAATGCAAACTGTTTGTCGGGGTATGGGTGATCTGCGTGTTGGAATTGAATAACGCACCTGATTAGATAAAAAATTAATTAGATTGGAGATAACACGAGAAATGTATTTACTCGGTAAATATATAAATTATTGAATTCGAGTGATCTCTTTTCGATAAAGTCAATAGCGTATAGCCAACAAAGATCATGACCACCTGGCGCTGTTTTCCATTCCTTAACAAGAAAATTATCGTTAAGTAGTAACTAAGATGAAGGAGCAAAACTTTTTCTCCCTATTTTGTGAAGTATCAAATTTACGAAAGACAATTCGATCTGGCTTTGATAAGAAGAAGCGAAAAGTAATGTGACTAACTTTTTCGATGTATTCGTTGATCTTTTTTATACCAATGTGTTCATCAGCAAATTCGGAGATTTTCGGCCATTGTACAGTGGTGTGTCCTGATGTTTGTGCTTCGTTTTCAAGTTCGATAAAGCGGCCTCTAGTTTTACTCGATTCCTCGCCAACTGTCTCTCTCAGATGTGCTAGCGATTGCTGAACGAGCTGTTCGATAATTCGTTGAGCTTCACGCGCTAAGATATTGTGAGTTTCTGATTGTTCCACAGACTAGAATAAATAAAAGGATACAATGAATATTCGAAGAGAACTCTCATTTCAATTACGTGCCACAGGCATGTGAAAATCGGTAGCAGCCATCCGACGCAACTGAAACAATTCGTTTCTCTTGAGTTTCGTTTGGCATCATGAGAAAAGTAACTATGGAGACAGTTCGATTATGATTGACGGATTCGTTTGACATTCGTCAAATGGATAAATTCTTCCGAATTCCTCAAAATCTCTCATTGATTAAATCAATTCGAAACGTTCGCTTTCCATTGGATACGATTTCGTCCAATACGAATGCTTTGTGTCATATATATATATACGTATGTATACATCAAATTCTTATTTACTGTTTATTTATATTCTATTTTAGTTTGTCTGTTATTCCCTTACGTTTTTCCTTGATTTGTTTTTCCTCGTCGACAAAGCTATCTTCAGATTCGCACAAGTTTCTTTCAAGATATTTCTATCATGTTCTAAGCAATCGTTGTGCAATGTCCAGTAATACGCAACAAACTCTGTGGAAAACAGAACACTCTGTACCAGGAAGGTAAGTTTCCCTTAGACTTCTTGTTCGAATGAATATATTTTTTTGAATTGTAGACCTGTTTTCGGTGCTCAACATCCACCGCTTTCAAAGTAAACGCAAGCAAAGTTCGCGTTGTTTAGTGTTCATTCGAAATATTTAGAAAACCGGTTTTATCCAATTCGTCGATATTAAAGAGAAAAGGTCAAGAAAAGTTTGCTGAATATTCAATCAATACTGACGACGCTTGGGAGATCGATGACAGGGCAATGACTTTAAAAATACTTGATAGTGATAACAATCCAGAAGAAGAGACGGACAATCATTCACAAATCGTCGAAATCTCTAAACAAGTTCGTCTAGATCAATTGTTCGAACATGATCTCGACCGTTTGTTTAGACTGTTGATGAAGTGGCTTCAAGAATCATTCAAGAACATAAATCGAAACGTCAATCGAATCAGATCACTATAGACGCATCCGCTGGTAAGAGAAGAATGAATGCTAATTGGAAGTATTTACCAAGAAAGGAGAAAATTCAATTGGAATCGAACACTACAGATGACGGATGTCATGAAGTTATCTCATAGCTGAGTGCACTCATCATTCTCATTTCCGGATCAACGATTCTTCGCGTAGTTAAACTAATCTTTTCGTGCCTTGATTCAGGATGAATTCGTTGTATTCCGGAAGTTAATTTTTTCCGAATGAGATACGATCGATGAACATGTCTTCCCTCAGTCAATTTCTATCGAAATAGAATTAGAAAAGCATCCTTTATTTCAGTTCGAAGGCCGACAATCGGAGCAAATGTTAACTTAGCTGCTTGTCCGGGAATCGGGCGACGAGTCGGCGACTATCCAAATATTAAACCATTAGTACCCATTCGATATACTTTAACTACAAATAACAATAGTTCGACGTCGTCTTCGAATAATATTCGATCGAATGTATCTACAAAATCCGATATCGATATTCAAAAAGAAAATAAATTCAAGCAAATCATCGAACAATCGAATGTTGATCTGAGTATGAACACATTCTTATTCCTTTCACAGCTTCCTCGTCTTACTGTCACACAGATGAACTTCGCAAAGCAAGTTGGAACGGTATTCCAAAACAATACCGTGCACAAGCATGGAAATTACTTTGTGTACGTTCAAGACTTGTATTGTTTCGCTTATTCTCAAACGAATTTCACACGATATTTCAGGGTTATCTACCGGCAAAAACCGAACGACGTGACGATACTTTATCACGAAAACGCGATGAATATTGGTCTTATGTTAGTCAATATTACCACACACGTATGGAGATTGAACATCAGGATACATTTCGGCAGGTACGTGTAAAAGTTATAACGCATAAAACTTGTTATCCTCAGGCTAGAAGAACTACTTAGAAGTTCCAATGTAGTTCCTATGTCATAAATGATTTTCTTAAGCCTGATAAAATCATGCCTATATTAGTTTCTAATCCGTCTAAGTGCAGTAGATAATCAATTCTCTGGTGAAGAACAGAAACAGAGAAATGCTGACAATTCTTTCTGATTTAGATTCATATAGACATTCCGCGAATGAATCCTTTGATGCCTATATTTCAACAGACAGTAGTGCAAGAATTATTCGAACGTATTTTATTCATATGGGCGATTCGACATCCAGCAAGTGGTTATGTTCAAGGAATTAATGATTTGGTTACACCGTTTTTTGTTGTTTTTCTTTCGGAATTTATCGATAATGGTAAGGAAGAGCGAGAGAAATCGATGAAACAAAATAAATCTTTCCTTTTTTCGAATTAGATATTGAGCTCGAAAATTTTGATATCGGTTCTTTACCTGAACAAAACCGACGAATTGTCGAAGCTGATAGTTTTTGGACCACATCTTATTTACTTGAAGGTATTCAAGATAATTATACATTTGCTCAACCTGGTATTCAATACAAAGTTCGTACACTTGAAGAACTTGCCAAACGTATCGATGGTTTGTCTACAAAGAACTTATGCTTAACCTTCTTCTGACATTCATCTGTATAGAACCATTATATCGCCATTTGAAAGACCAACATATCGAATTTCTCCAATTTGCCTTTCGATGGATGAATAATCTACTGATGAGAGAATTACCTGTTCGATGTACCATTCGCCTATGGGATACTTATCTCGTATGAAATTCGTTGTAAATAAAACCAAAAACAATTTCTCGTCCTATTTTAGTCTGAACAAAACGGTTTTTCTCAATTTCATTTGTATATATGTGCCGCATTTCTCGTTCGTTTCTCCAAGGATCTTTTACGTGAAAAAGACTTTCAGGTAAGAAGAAGAACAACAACAACACATCAAGTCCATCGAGAGATAAAACCTTTTTCTAGGGAATTCTTCTTCTTCTGCAAAATTTACCAACACATTCGTGGACAAGCAATGATATAAGTATCTTAACTGCGGAAGCTTATCAATTAAAGGTCATGTTCGCCAATGCACCACGTCATTTATCAAGCTAGTGAACAGTTTTATCTTCTTCATTTCTTTTGTCTAGGTTATTCTCTATGGTTATCAATTCATTTATTCATTTTTGAATTATTTATGGAAATCTTTCGTGATATTTTCTTATCTTTCACATGAATTTCATGAGATTTTCGAGATTCTTTGAAAAGAAATCTCTACGAATACTCCTTTGAAATGATGATCATTTCTTCTTCTTTGTTATCTGAGCATTTATGCCATTGTTGGATTATTTGATTGTTAAATGATGAAACGATTTTTATGTGTATATAGGATGGGAATAAGAAGGAATATATTCAAATATATAAACGTATATCTACACTTAGTTTTAGTGTTTTCTTTCCTTTTGAGTTCAGATTTGCGTGTTAAGAATAATTATTTGTTATCATAAACGATGTTCGTTTCTCGGGGACTCATCAGTCTTTAGGGAACTCTTTATGTGAGAAAGAAAAAGAAAACTTATACAAATAGAAATCTTTGATTTCCCAGAGAGTAATTAACTGATGAAGTAGAAGCAATGCACAGTTTTATGGGTACAGCAAGTGGAAAATCCGAACATTGTTGAGCTATTTAAAAGACCGATTAGTTGTTGACATTTTCTATGCATAAAATCGACTATCAATATTTATTTCTTCTCTTTTTAGATTATTTCTCTGCTTGGTTACACAAATGTTCTAAACATAATTGCTCAAACATGGTTAGAATTTCCCGGAGAAAATCGTGTTTCTTGTGTGTTCACACCGTCGGGCTTTTCAATAAGAAGTAAAGTTAATAAAAAATGAAAGATAGATAGAAATATACAATAGAATAATCATGATCAATTGCCATCAAAAATTGCTTGTTCAGGTTTGTCTATGCATGTAAGCATGAAAAAGATTATCCCTAACGGCGTTGTCAATGACAAGACATAAGTAGAAGAAGGAGAAACGCAAGACGAGAAGGAAACTAAGCTGGTTGTTTGAAAAATGAGCTTACTGTTCGTTTGTCATACTTCCTGTTGAAGAAGAAAGAGAAAAAAAATGATCACCTCATGAAAAACTCGGCAAAGAAAAAAAAGCACTGGGAGGAAGAAACACACAGAAACCTGTGAATGTTCATTAGTTACAAACCGAAGGAAGAAGGATATGAAAGATTCTTTTTCATTCTCTACTATTTTTTTAGATAAAAAAAACGCTCTTTTGCTCTTTTTGATACTATCATTCAAACTCTTGTAGAATTCTAAGTAAGTGAACAAGTTGTGAACATTTGAGAAGTATTTTATCGTTTATTTAGCGAAATCAAATATGTCAACGCTTGCGAACAAACAGAAACTAGTTGAACAATTACGAGCTGAAGCGAACATCGAACGGGTTAAAGTGTCCGTCGTATGCAAAGATTTGATTAAATTTTGTCAAGATCATGAAAGCGGTGACGTTCTCGTTCGCGGTTGGGCCGGATTTGCGAAAGAAAATCCATTTAAAGAGAAACAAGGTTGTGTTACTTTATGACTAAGATACGCGGTGCTATTCATCTACTTAGTCAAGTATCTTCTGGGCGTATTAGTCCGTTATTTGCATCGTAGTTGGTATTGAACAGAACAATTTGGAATCGATTCGTTCTTCATCGTTTCTTTTTTTATTGTGTGCGTGTGCAATCTCAAGTTGATTATATATATATACAAATAACGTATCAGTTTATTATCTCGTTTTTTTTATCACCTTTATATGTTGTCGAGTGTTAATCTCTCTTCGTTTGTTGCTTCTTGTCCTTCTTTCTTCATGTTTTAATAGCTAATATTAATAAGAAAACAAATCATGAACACTAGAAACCATTTACATTCACTGACAAAAGAAGCACCGTCATTTTCGCCGATGTAATCGTTCATTTAATAGTGTCGGTACTTCTTTTCGAGTTCGGTAATGAAAACGAGTCAATGACGTGTTTAATTTCCTGAAGACAAAGAAATGAAAATCATAGTCTTGCTTGGAAACGATCTTACCATCCACTATCTTTTCGGACAGCTTCGTATGTTTCGTTGTGTGTCTGAGCGATATCCATATCGGCTACATCGATCATATAAAGATAATCCATTCCGAAATTATCAAACATACATTCGAGGGAAATCCGTCGTGGTTCGTAGTCGGAGGAAACTGGATGAGTCCATTCGATTTCCAAATAATCAACTAATGCGAGACTTCGATCTGCTACCATTTTTTCTAGAACTTCGATTTCAGCTCCTTCGATAGTGAATTTAATGTAAACATAATGCTCAGGTTTGAATTTTTCTAATATCCAACGAGAAAAATCAAGTGAGAGAACGCGTGTGGTGGAATTATGATCAATTCGTGACTTTTGTCCCATTTCGGTAGCATATGGCACTTCATCACTCTTTATCCATGCTGCTGTATTGTAAACAGTTTTCGTTGCTGATATCGGAAGATTTTGCTCGGCTTTACATGCGAAATAATTGATTGGATCTGGCTCGAACCCGATGATACTCAAATTCCCTGCATCGAGAATTTCTTTCGAATGAAAATAAAGAAAATGCTGAATATCACGACCATCTGAACATCCTAAATCAATATAATAGAATTGATGGAATGTGTTGTTTGTCTGACTTGTTTCTTTCTTCAAATAAGGTTCATAATCATAATAATACGCTTTTCTTGAGTTCGATATATCTTGTTCATCTGCAGGATTTCCCACTAATGAACGTATCAGCATCGTTTCATTTCTGTATGCTATAAAATCTATTGTTACTACGACATAAATCATCATTCCAATCAATAGAAGAATATTTAATGAATGTTTTCTCGACGACGTAGGTAAGATGTTCAAAGATTTCTTTATCTGAGAATGATTGTATCGCCTGTACAGTGAAATCAAGAAACCCATAGTTCAGCAAAACTAGAATAAAGAAAATTCAATTTATTCATTACTGCTCACAATGGAAAGATAAAATGAAGAATACCGTTTGAATGTTAATTATATATATATAGACATTAGTCATTTGTCCTACCGAGGAGAGTTATAAGCAGAGTGCCTCATGATTTTGAATACCTGTCAGGTTATACAAAGACTGGTATGAAAACGATAGCGACAATAGGTGAAGTGAAAAAAGTAATCATAAGGCACGCTTTCCCCACGATATTCGGAAGAAAATTTTCCGAGCAATTAATCACTGATCAGTTACATTACACCGTACTTCCCATACAAAAGTAATTTCTTATGAGTGATTTCTTTCTATCATGTTCGTCAGTCATCGAAAGATGGTTAAACGTGTGAATGTGCTGTGACTCCTTTATAAAAAGTGCTTTCATACTACGTTGGTATGAATTAACAAATTTGCTATTTTTACTCTGATGAGTCAACCAATGTAATTATAGCATTGGTTAGGTGAAGTAAGGTGACGTTTTCTGCATGGGTCAACAATTTTGATGCAGATGAGAAATGTCCAATGAAATTGTTTATTCAAATGAAGATTACAATGAAAGAATGCTATCCTAGAAACAAATCTATAAAGGGTGATAAGATTGAGAGGAAGTAGAATTAATTATATTTTTCATTTTTCTTCCTCTTCTTCAATTGGTTCGGAAATTTTCATATCGTCGTCAGATTCTTCATCGCTCTCACTTGCTGTCTCTCCGTCCTTTTCTTTCTTATCAACCATTGATCTTGCATTGTCACCATCCTTATTTTTATTTGTAGACGTTTGCACCTCCGTGTGTACATCCGATGCGATTGACGATGATCGGTTTTGATTATCTTCTACGCTTGACTCGTCAGTACTATTTTTCACATTGAATGATGGATTATTTTCTTCTCCAGTCGAATGTACAGACATTTTTTCATCAATATCAATGACAAATGCCGTGGCGATCGTTTCACCCGAACTTGGACCGGTATTATTCGAATCATTATTATCTATTTCAAAGAAAAATACATCAACTCGAATAAATTGATTACGACAAAAAAACCTATTACATGAAGTAACATTGATGATCAATCCTGGTGTTTCAACGGCATATGAGTTTGTTTTTGAACAGAACACTATAGAAAGTACGCCGAGTACAAATAATCTTAACAAAGCATAACATTGAATTTCGTTGTGAGTAATTTGGATACGTACTTGCAGTACATGTTGTGTCGAATGTTAGTGTTCGCATAAAAACAAGTGTTTTTATATGGTGACTGATAAGGTCAGTATGTTCATCGACATTCTTGAACAGCTGTTGCTTCGATGATTTCATTGATAATCATAGTAAACAAATACGAGAGCGATAGGCGAACAATCTTTATTTCATTTATCTATCAAGTGACTGCCGTAAAGGTCATGTAGAAAGCATGTTTTTTGTTGTTTTTCGTGAAATGTTTCAAAGAAAGAGAATGATGCTTTTCTTGTTATCTAGTCTATTTGATTATAAGAATCAGAACAAGACGATCACAAAAAACTCAATAAATCAAAATGAAAGACACGCGTGAGTAAAACTGATAAACGTGTATAAAAGAAGGAAATAGTTTTTGTTGTTGTCAACAGTAACCAATTTAATGAGATTGGTAGTGTGCTGATGACGACGATGAACTGCTTGATGCTTTGGATGATTCAGTATGTGTTGTTTTTCCAACAGTGACAGCAGCACCTTCAACATGGGTTTCACCAGCAGCTGCAGCCTTTGTTGTAATAACCTAAACACAAATGTGTCAGTTTAAAGTATCGAAAACAAATCTACGTACTGTTGTAGTTGTTGATTGAAGTCGGCGGGCAGCATCTTCTTGGCCAAGAACGCTGACCTGTTCGGTAATTTTTGCTATGAGAAAAGCGAGAAATAGAGATCGAAACAAAACACTTTCATATCGGATACTTACTGACTTGAGCGTTGCTTTGAGCTTGAGCTTCTTTAAGAACACCCTGAAAGAAAACAAACGGTTAATCGAAACGAGAGTGACAACGGAATATTCAACTGACCATTTTCAATCGGTTGGCTTCTTCGTTAAGATCATCGATACGTTTGCGTGCAGCCTCAAGAATTTGCTCTTGACGTGTATGAAGTTCTTTTTCGAGTTGGGCAAGTAAAGCAGCTTTGTCAGCATCGAGTTTGGCAACGTATTCTTGTAATTTAAGTTTGAAGTCATTTTCGATTGCTGAAAAAAAACACAACGGCATTTTCGTTCAAATACAAAACCAAGCAAATAGATCAGAAGAACTTACTAACAGTACGTGTGTTGGCATCAGCAAGGAGTTGTTGTTGTTGAACTTGTGTTTCAGCGACGACTTTTTTGATGGATTCAGTAACAGCTTCACTGATTTCTTCGGTACGTCTGCGTGAATATTCATCAACTTGAAGATGTGTTGATCCTGAAAAGAAAAATCATCGACAGTGATTTTAACATCTTCTAGCATTTTTTTTCTTAAAAACTTACCAAGACGAGCCATAAGATCGTTTATTTTCTTGGTATTTTCCATGCTGACCTTCGATTGACTTTCAGTTTGAACAACCGATTGAACATGTACATTTTCAGCTTGGGCTGTATGTACTTTGGCTGAGCCGGATGATGATGAGGCAGACATCGTAGAAGACATTATAGAATAGTTTGACTAAATCGATATGCGAGTAAAACGTTAAATGAAATTATGTAACTCGATACAGGCGAAAGCATCAGTTTATATACACTGAACGAACCGGCGACGTGTCGAGCCCTGGATGTCTTCCTTTGTTTCTTATAAAAACATAGACAATCGTTTAGTCCGCGTAATCACACGACTAAAATCTTCGTGTAGTCGACTTATAGTGAACTTATTCACATGCCTTAACAACGTGCTTGAATAAAGAAAAGACAAGAAAAGCATCGTTCGAGAAGATATTATAAGTACTAGATGTATCTATTACGTCGTTAAATCTGCTTAATTGGACTTTATTTATCTGTGATATTCAACATTGACCTGGATGATCTGATAATAAATAGCAATGTACAATTATAGGAAAAAAAAGAATAGATTTACCGAGAGAAAAATCACATTATGAAGAAGAAAAAACAGTTAAATATACAACAGACAAGGATAAGAAAATTAGAATGGACTTTGCGCTATCTGAACTCGACGTGCTGGTTTTCGTTTTGGTGTTGTCGTTTCCGATGATCGTCCGAATCTGACTCCGCGTCTTGTAACTTTGGTTGGACGATGCACCACTGATTGTGTGCCGAGAATATTGGCAAGTTCATCGAAATCCACTTCACCATGATGATCATCGATGACTTGTGTCGTATCATCCACAAAACTGTCATCTTCGTCATATGTATCATCGTCCATGGTCATGTTTGGCAATTGCGAATAAATATCTTCGATAGGAATAGCTCGTGGTGGCGGGCGATAGTTAATCTTTGGGCTTTTAATACTTTTCAAATAAACGCTGGTCATATCAATGTTGCCGACTTGAGTTAAGACTTGTCGATCGTCGATGAAATGATCTTGTTCGGTTTCGTGTTCGTTTTCAACTTCATCCGATGAAATTGTATTGGATAGATCGTTATCATCAACAGCTGCTTCATAATCGAGAAAATCCGATGCTAAACGTCGATGAAAGTGTCGTTGTTGATCAGCGTGAATGTCTTGTGCACTTTTTGTCTTCTTTCTTTCGATTGTATCCGGTGTAATGCCCGAAAGACGTCGCACGCGTTTTCTTGATGGCACTGGTCGAATTGGTGTTTCAAATTTCTCAGAATGACTTGTAATATTCATTTTAGTCGTTGCTTCTGCTATTGAACTAAAGCAAAAACAACTCTCCGGTAGTATCACATCACTCATGAAATATATCGAGTACCGGCCTTGTTTACATACAAATACTTACTAGAACAGAGATGTTCTTTTGCAATCATTGATAGAAAAAAATATAACAGAATGTATGCAACAAGAAAATTTTAGTGTATAAAGTAAACAATATATAGTTACATATTTCATAAAATATCAGTTTATTTTACAATGGTTTCATGAGAGTAAAACGCCGCGGAACTGAAAAACTTACGTGTCAAGTACATTGTTTGTTGCGTCATCACTGTTATCAAGATCATCAAAACTAAATTCTAAGTCAAATTTCGGTAATGTTGTGTCAGCCGTAGATATCGTTGATTGACACTGGGTGTTCACTCGATTTGTTAGAATCAAGACAGGACTTGGATTTGTAATTTGATTGGATGTTGATGATGGTTCTATGTGTTTATTAAATGCTTCTAATAGTTCGTCATTATCGATTCCATCATCATCGTCAAAAACATTTCTCGCTTGCGATCTCGCTTCATTTATTTGCAGGGTGGGTGATAAATGAGAAGTTTGAGATGCTTGAAAGAGATCATCGATCGTAATATTGAAGTTTCCAATATTATCCTCTTCCACTTCCTCTTTTTGTTCGTGCTGAGTCGGAACGAATGTTGGACTTGATGTTGGTGGCATAATCGTTCGTTGAGAATATACTTGTGTGATGTCAAATGCTGATCCAGCTAAATATAAAAACGAAAAGTGAGAAAGAATGGTTTTCATGACGACCACGGACTTGAAAATAAATCTCCACAATCAACTTCTTCGGCATGTACTTCTTCCTCGCGTGCTTGTACAAGCTTTTGTTGAATTATTGGCTGAAGATTCAGTAATTGATCACATTCTTCAGGCATTTTCGATAGATCAACGGGTGAACAAGTTCGTTTCGCTTGAATTTGTTCTTTTAATTTCGATCGATCAAATGGTGGTGGCATTTTTGGTCGATCGATAGTAACTGGTTCCACTGGTGTTGGTTGATCATCCATAGGCCATGTCTAAGATGTATCCGATCATATTCTTTTTTTTTCAGTATGAAAGAGATTCTTACATGAGATGGAATATCAACATAAACTCTTTCCGTTGTGTAATTCTTCATAAAATCCACGAATATCTTCGTTCGCGAGGAATGCATCGTTTGACTTTGAATTTCTCGTTGTTCATTCGACCATTTTTTCATTGCTGCTTTCAACAATGACGCCACTCGATCTTTCTACAACACAGAACTTCTGATCATCTCTCAGAAAAAATAAATGGGTTAACCTACAGCAGACATGACCGATCGATCATCATCATCATCATCATCATTGTTGTTGTCGTCATTGATGTCATTTAGTTGATAGTTTCGAGTCCAGTGGTAGAACTCATTATCAGTTAAGAGTTTATCTTTCCGAAATAATTTCAATAAACTTTCTGAACAGAAAAGAGAAAAGCAGACATTAAAATTGAAGATTTTCTTCGGTTTATAAACCTTGTTGCTTAGTTTTATTTATAATGGAGTTAAAATCTGCATCATTTGATTTGAATTTCTTTCGATTTTGTGGTTCAGACAGGTTCGCATCATCTGCCATTTTCACCATCATTTCTTGACAAACCGGTTGAAGATCGCTGGGAACCATTCGTAAATTATTGCGATACAACTCCAACATCTGTGCACCATCAACAATTAATTTCAAAATCCGTTTTTGTTGCATTTCACCTTCATGATACGTGCGTTCTTCTTTACCTCTATCAAAAGAAAAGAGATTCATATGAAAAGGATTAGAAGAAAACATACTCAGTCATGAGAAGAACAATTCGACCTTGTCGAGCACGACCTGTTCGACCCATACGTTGAACAAGTCGAATAGGTGATTTCAGTGCATCAAAACAAACAATCAAATCAACGCTACCAATATCTAAACCCTCTTCACCAATTGAAGTTGCTATCAAAACATTATAACCACCAGCACGGAATTCATTGACAACTTTCTTCTGCAACTTTTGATTGATACCCTCTAATCAACCGTGTCTATTTCAATAAAATTCTATCAATGAATATCGATCTCTTACGTCCAGCGGCATGTGATGATGCTTGACCGATAAATGCCATGGGCTTCACTAATGGTTGATCTTGATCGAGAAGTTCTTTAATTTCTCGGACACTATCACGTTTCTCACTGAAAATAATCACTCGTGTTTGATCGTTGGCTTTTGTTTTCGTACGTTCAAATGTTTGAAAATGTTCGACGACACATTCGCGCAGTTTAGCTAGCTTTGGATGACCTATTTGAAGACTTGTAGTGCGTCGCTGTTGTGTACTGACTTGAGACAAATCGAATAAGTTTTGTAACTGAGTATAGATGTCATTTAATGCACGGTTGTTTCGAAATGTTGCATGTAACATGCCGTTCTTTTTGTCCTCGGTCAATTTTTTCTTGAAAAAATTATACACCGATTGTAAGCCGTGTTTTTCCAGTTCATCGAGGGCGTGATAGAATGATATGGCAAAGAAAAGTGCACTTTTCGCTTCTTGATGTTGTTTATCCTGAATAGAAGACAATTTTTCTTAGAAAACGCGCTTTATCGATCGTAGTCTTACGTTTAGGTTAGCTGGTTTATCTTGTGTAATTCGTTTCATGGTCATGATTATCGATCCGTATGTGACATTTTCGGGATTCTTTTGGTAAATGACTCCTAATCTGGCTAGTGTTTCGACTGGTTGTTGAACAATATTTAAAATGACTCGTCGTACATCTTGCATCAGTTGATTTGGTCCAACAACGATTTTATCGATAATTTTGTCGAAACTGTATCTTTTGATTTCAGGTGAATCATCAGTGAACATTTCGATATGTGAAATACTTAGATTGTTGATCACATTTTGTACAGCCTATTTTAAATAAAAGGAATACAAAGAAAATTAATTGATAAATTTAATAATTACTTCAACGTTATTGCCTGGAGTAGCACTGAGAGCAAGAACGCGAAAGTCTTCACCGTTTCTCGACAATTCTTGAACGACCTAAGTTAAAGAAAATGAAGAACGATAGGTGAAAGTGTTAGTTTTACTTGACAATAAGCATGTTGTCCGAGTGCTCGATGAGCTTCATCGATAATTAAGCATCGAATTTTCGACCATGGACAGGTTGACTTCACCAAATCATTATTCAACGTTTGCGGTGTTAGAAAGAAGACTCTTTTCTCCAACCAGAGTCTTCGGCGTTCCTCCGGATTTACTCCGCCAGTCATCTCACACATTTCAGTCCTTCGAATCCCCATTACTTTAGCACAAGCATCCATCTGTTGAGCAACGAGTGGCTTTGTCGGAGCTGTAAAGATAATTTTACCCGTTGGATACCAACGACAGTAATTGTACATAACAACAGCAGCAATAAATGTTTTTCCCAGACCCGTTGGTAAAATGACAAGCGTATTGTGAAATAATGCTGCACTGACTACTTTGTACTGATATTCACGTTTTTCATAATTGGTTGGATAGATCCAAATACGACCTGCTTGTCGATCAAAATCTGGATACGTATGAGCTTGTTCATTGGCATTTGCAGGCGCTGAAATAGATGCTTGATAGGATTGCTTGGAATTTTGTTCGGCTTTATAAGATATTGGCCATTTGGAATTTGATGTCGTGTTTGCAGTTGATTTCGTTGTTTTTGAAGACGAAGGAGAAGTCAGATTCTTTTTTTCAAATTGTTCCATTGCAGCGAGTAATTCGACATCATCATCGTCGTCGTCATTTTGAACTGAAGATACTTTCCTAGTAATTGTATTAGTATTATTTGACGGTTTCGATCCGGTTGACGACCAGAATTGTCCAAGAGTTGTTTGATTTTTCGATACCGTCGAACTACTCGTTGTCTTCTTCATGTATCTAAAGTATCGAATGAGATAAAAACGAATGCATCGAGCTAATTAGCACAGTACCGCGAAAAAATGTCACTGTTGTGTTACAATCAATGAGTTACGATTAGATTAGAGACAATTTTTCATTATAAAAAAGAGCGAAATGATTTAGTTCTCAAATAAAGCCGTTCATTTGTCTCTTTAGATTCGACATGACAATTCGTTTTTTCTTTCTGTTCTATCTAAATGCTGATAGGCTCACTCATATGAACCAATAAGTGAATTTATCAGACAAGCAGTTGTTTTTAATTTTAACGTGAACAGTAATTTTTTGAATATGATGATGAAATTTTTATTCGAATTAGAATAAAAAAATGAAACATCGTGAGAATAAGCGTATGCAAGATAAATCTACGTTTGTATTCGTAGATTATGTCATATTGAAAGAAGGGACAAGTTGAATTTTACAACGAGGATGAGAACTGTCACTGTACATTTTTAGAGATATATGAACATGAGAATACTATATAGATCTCCTTTGTATGATATATTTGTTTGAATTTGCTCAGTCTTAGTGGATCGACAGAAGTACGAACACGAACATATCAGTAAATATACTTAGTCATCGATTTTTATAGATCATGTCATAAGAAGTGTGCACGGAACAAAGTGCTTTGATTTTCATCCAAATCATAAGTAGCAGAATGCATCTGCTGACAGAAGCCATAACAGTCGTCAAGCAGAAAGTATGTTGATATCTGTCGAAGGTTGTTTTAGTCTAAAACATCGTTTTATGAAAAAAATCAAAGAAAAAAATCAACAAATCGATAAAAGTGATAGAAAGCTGTCCGACCTTTGTCAATATTGATGAACGTCGGATAATACGATAGTTAAGCGATTTTTCTACTATAAAACAGATTCGATTAAAGTTTTACAATTAATACTGATCGATAGTCACCATGATATAGATGTAGATACGAGAGTGGTTGTTACTTTAACGTTTCTCGGTCGTCAATTAACACACGTACAGCTGTTCGATATACGGGATTTGTTTAATTCATACGCCTGAGTTCATCAATGATAATGTTTGATCTTCGTTGATATGGATCGCACCTCATGCAAAACATATCGTCGTTAAAACATGTCGCCAAAAAATGACTTTTACCTGCGGAATCAATCGAATAGATATTAACGAAGTGCAACTGTATAAAATGCGATTTAACAAACAACGAACAGTATTCGTTCTTTCCATTCTTTTCTATTCTCTTTCAAAAGATATGTATTGTGTACTATAAATGTTACGTTCTTTCATTCTGCTTGGAACTTTTCGAAATAGTACATCTTCTTCTCTTGTTATTGTATCTTCTTAGGTTTCTTTAATTGAAAGGCTCATATAAAGAGTCAACATTTTTTAAAGTGTTTTTGGGATACATAGTGGTCAAAATATTTAAAAAAATATATATATACGCTTAAGATAAAAAAGTTATTGATATTGGTAATTTTATTGAATCACAAGATGATTTTCTTGGTACAACTGAGGGTATCATCCATCCGCAGTTATCATCAATCCAACAATCGTCTGTCTCACTGCTGTCAATCATATCAAAATTTCGATTCTCATTTCAATACAAAATCCGCAATATGCATATTTCTTCTAAAGAATAATAAATGATTTATTATAAATCATGTGCATATTTGTGAAGGCAACAGGTTTAAGCACTATACTTTGCCAGGGGACACCGAGTATATTTTATAATGAAAGTTCGGAATGCATACATAGTTATATAATAGTGTATATTAATGCTGAATCGACTTCTCTGATTACGTACCATTTGAGATATATTGTAACTTGATACTAATCGTAGAAACGAAAATAGGCTTTTTTCTCTTCCTTTGGTGTACTTGATATATGTGATAATCGTTTAAAGATATGAAAAAACGCTTTTGGAGTAAAAATATCGCGATTCTGTCTATGATGTAACGTAACGGGGTTCACAGAGAACTATTTGAAGTATAGATGCAGTTACATAATCCTATTTTTATCTTTGTCCTCAAATTTTTTAGAAGTATAAAAACAGCGCACAGATTCATCGGCAAACTATTCTATTTACATACAAAAAAACGATATGCATTCACTCACGATTGTCGCTATTTTAATTGTGGCTAACTGTTATTTTACATTGGCGAACCCCATTTCAAATCTATTTGGTGCTGTAGACACTGAAACACCGCCATATGATGTTATCAGTAAAGGTACGAAATATGAAGTTCGTCGTTATCGATCACAATTATGGGCACAAGTAGAATATACTGTTGATGCATCAACAGATTTTGGTGATAAATTATCGATCGGATTTCAACCATTATTTCAATACATAACGGGTAAAAATGAAAAAGAACAAAAAATTCCCATGACAGCACCAGTAGTTATGCAACAAGTAAATTCTGATTCTACTCGCCGACGAATGGCATTCATCATGCCAGCAAGTGAATTTACAGAACTTAGTCAATTACCAAAACCAACAGATTCAACTGTTAAACTCATTGCTGTCAATGAACCTTTAGCTTTGGCTTGCATCACATTCAACATGGGTATCACAAGTAAACGGGTTGATACACGCGAAGAAGAACTTCGTCAAGCAACAACTGCTGATAAAATTCAATTAGTAACTGGCCGTGAAAATGTTCGTGTTGGTGGTTACAATCCACCATGGACATTACCTTGGTTTAGAAAAAATGAACTCTGCATTCCACTGGTTAATCAAGCTTAAGTAATCAAAGACTTGCGTGTTTTCTACTGTATTGATGTATAAGATTAAGAATTTAATAAAACATTGTAGATTGTGAAAGTACTTTTTGTAGTTATCGCACATACAGGCGTCGCTACCTTTCATGAAAAAAAATCTTGTCCGCTCTTTGAGTTGGTCGATGATACAGACGAATCAATTTATTTGCTTCGAGTACATACGTGCGCACACACCTAGATCGAATCTATCTAATTCAGATTTAGATCATATTTCATGTTATTCCAATTCATCCGTCGCCTTTCAACCTCTCCATTAACTCGTGTTCGTCATCCTAAATTGCGTCGATCGACACATTATGCGACTCTAACTGATAAAGATGTCAACTTTTTCGAAAACTTGCTTCCTCGTGGCAGCGTGATAACAAATCCTGACGATTGTGCACCGTACAATATAGACTGGATAAAAACATGTCAAGGACAATCTCAACTTGTCCTACGACCGAAAACTGTCAAGGAAGTTCAAGCTATTCTTCGTTATTGTCATGAACATCAATTAGCTGTATGTCCACAAAGTGGAAATACTGGCCTTGCCGGTGGTTCAGTGCCAGTCTTTGATGAAATCGTTCTTTCATTTACTTCGATGAATTCGATCGGTGACTTTGATGAGAACAGTGGTGTTTTAACTACGGACGCTGGCTGTATTCTACAAACATTGGATACTCATGTACGAAAGTTTGGACATACAATGCCGATTGATTTGGGTGCGAAAGGCTCATGTTTAATCGGTGGAAATGTTGCTACGAATGCTGGTGGATTACGTGTTGTTCGTTTTGGTTCACTTCGTTCGGCGGTTCTCGGCCTAGAAATCGTTTTAGCTGATGGTAGTCTGTTGGATTGCTTAACATCATTACGAAAAGATAATACCGGTGTTGATCTTAAACAACCATTCATTGGTTCTGAAGGTATCTTAGGTGTGATTACACGTGTAGCATTAGCATGTCCATTGGCAATGCCTGGTGTTGGACTCGGATTTTTTGCTTGCTCATCATTCGAACAAATTCTGTCTACTATGAGATTAGCGAGACGTATCTGTGGTGAAACACTATCTGCCGTGGAATTTCTTGATGAATCAACTTATAATTTATCGTTAAAAAATTTAAAACGAGCACAATCACCGATCGAACCAAATAAATTCTATATTTTAATCGAAACTATGAGTTCAACGGAAGAACACGCGAAAGCAACATTGGAAAAACTGGCTAACACCGCGTTAGACAAAGAGTTTGTCACTGATGGCACTTTAGCACAAGATTTAACGCAATATCAAGATCTATGGGCAATACGTGAACGTGTTCCTGAAGCGCTCGTTGCTGACGGTTACGTATTTAAATACGACTTCTCTCTTCCACCGTCTCGCATGTATAAACTAGTCGAAGAAACTCAACAACGTATGAAGCCTTTTTCGAATGTTCGAAATGTCACCGGTTTTGGGCATCTAGGTGATCAAAATCTTCATTTGAATATTACTGTTAAAAATGGATATTCCGATGAGATTAAGCATGAACTCGAACCATGGTTATACGAATGGGTTGCGAAAGAACGTGGATCTGTTTCAGCTGAACATGGTCTTGGTTTACATAAATCGAAATATCTTCAATTGAATAAAGGCGAACAGTCACTAGTATTGATGAAACAAATGAAGAAAATGTTCGATCCAAAATGTATTCTTAACCCTTACAAAGTTTTACCTTATCAAATAGATTAGATTGTTTCTGTTTCTTGTAATCTACACCAAGATTCACTATTCACGAGACAAATTTCGATGCACAGAATGAAACCTTCTCTACTGACCTATAGAAAGAAAACTTACCAAGGGCACATTTGTTTTTCATTTGATTGTCATATTGAATAAACATGTCAACACATTGATAAAAATCATGATAGCCGCGATGAGACTGACACGAGTTTCTTCTTCTGTGTCTAAGAAATAAAACTAAATTTCTCAAAATTCTGTCAGTTAATTTGACAATAACATCAATCAACAGATTGTCAATAAAGTAGACTTCGTTTCTGATCTAATCATCTCGCGACTGGATTTAATGAAAGTATCCTTAAGAGAAAAAGAGATCTTCGCCTTGATAATTCGTTACAGATTGTTAACGAGAAAATGTAGGATGATATATTTATCTATTCACTTGATGAAATTTTGATATAAGTGAAAATGATTAGATGAAGGTCAAAGATATGTTCGGTGACATTTTCTCGTAGAGAGAAATATCCACCTGACAAACGAGATTTAAGTTAATGTCATCTATTGTATCATTTGAAATTGACTTTCATGGTCATGTCACATTCGTTTAGAAAAATTCAACTTTTAAGATTCAAAGAGAACTTATCAATGATTTATTTCAACGAAATCTTTTTATCACAGGGAAGAAAATGTATTTTATGTAACTATAGACGCATACGGTTGTTCAAAGGATGTGTCATACGAATGTAATCGTTTTCCATGAGATAGGTAAAAACGTTTCATTATTAACTTCATGGTTATTATGCGCGATGAGGGAAAGCCTTGATAACTGCTTTCATTACGAGCAGTAGTTGTCTTTTTAACAATAATGTCTAAGAAGTTACTATTGGTATTAACTATATGAAAAGGGACTGAACTTATGTTGACTTGATTTATATTGTGTCTGACTCTTTCCAATGCAATCACACTGCTCGTCGATCTTGTGAACTGATTCTTTTTTTGCTCTAGCTCCTATTCGTCATCGTTGAGCTTAGTCTACTCTGGACAGTAATCATTTCGTCTCTTCAGGCCTACAAAACGGAAGCTATCGTCTGAAACTGAACTAGCTAATCAAATCTTTACTTGAAACCGCACGTTCACATTGAAGGTTTGTGTGAGTAAAACAGAAAATGGAGAGCATATTGAAAAAGATAGAACATGCTATTTGGAGGGTGAACTATGACTTGTAACGGTTAATCGTGAGCGGCCGACAAACGACTAATTGTTGGTCTGAGAAGTTTCTAATGAACACAACTGGTAAATGTCGATGTTTGTGAAGCCACCAATGAGTGCGATTCGTCAAGAAAAAAGTATCTTCATTGAAAAGTTGCAAGTAACAGATTGTATCGATTTGTGGGAAGCAGAATTCTTTATTTAGAAGAAGAGCCGTTTAGAAAGCAGAAGTTTTTCAGCAGAAATAGCGAGCATGTTGTTCTCTCTCGCTTTTCAGTCGAAAGTCAGGCGAGTCACCTTCAACGAGCGTCGTTTGTGTTTAGAATTATTTCATAATAAAAAAAAGTTGAAGAAGGCTAAGAAAAAAATCTTATGTAAGGAAATTTGCTTAGACATAGACTCGGCTAGATGAGAATATATTCGGCGGACTCTACTAGACAATCTTGTGATTTTTTCAGAAGACGGTCAGCGAACCCAAAAAATGAGCGTTACTCGTATCGCATATGAAAAATTATCTCATCAATTTGGGTTTCTTTGCAAGCATTTCACCCACGACTAATCCAAAGATTAGAAGTCTAAATCGATGGAAAACTGGATTTTAGTTGATTTTGCTGATGACAATCTCGGTTATTCTAGTCATATATTCATCATTACATGAAAATACTATCACTGAAACCATCGAACTTACAACAGTATTCGAGCATTTGTAATTATCGGCTGAATATTCCACAACATGACAATATTTTTTGTACTTTAATAGCAATAAGTTATGATACTTTTATTTAGAAATTAATTTCAGAATATTATTGAATTTGTTCAAGTACTTTTATTACATTAGAATGGATTGAAGATGTGGAAACTTCACAGTAAGCAATACCCTGCGATCTATTACAAAAGGCAACGAATCAATTCGATTGGAGAATTCGGGCAGTCGGCTGATGACAATTGTTCGTTCGAACTGGAATGTCTTTTACGAATTCACATGTTGTAATCAATGTTTTCTTTGAATTTATGAGTAAACTTCTGCGCGACGTCTTACCTGCACCACAAACGTATTGTAAAGAGAATTGTTCATGTGCCACACAACCAGGTTGTTCAAAATCCTCCATTTATTCATTTCCAAATTTCAATGGATCCTTAGTGAAATCCATCCGAGGATTCCGATTTGGATGTCGACCATTAGACGCTTATCTTCAGTCAGGCTTCGCTTGTCTGTACGGTGAGACTTGTATTGGTCTCGTACGAACATCTATGTATTTTACTTAATCATTGCGATTCAAAGTACGTCACTCGACTTCTTCATTCCAGAAACCCAATCGAACCATTGAAACAATTATGGAACAGTTGTTCATATCCGATTTATTTGATGAAATCTCCTTCGAGAATTATTTCAATGTCTGTGCTCCGAAAAGATGTCAATATTGTTATGCAATGAAATTTGATCGAATCTGTATCTTGACAATTTATTTCCTTTGTTTGAGGATTTGAGAAAAGGATTACATATATTTGTTGCTCGTATGGTACGCATAATAGCAAAAATCTAAAATTACTGCCAAAAGAGAGATCGAGTCAAGCCAGAAGTACTGTAATTAAATATATTTGTCGAGATTCCAAACAATAATAATGATGGAATCGTGATTCTTTCCGAAAGAGCATAACATTTTTTTTCCTTTAATAATTCTTCTCTAAAATATCTATATTTCAGCTCGAAAATAAATCCGTTGAAGAAGTGAATGGAAGGTCGGTATCAAAAGTAGTTATCAATCAAATCGATGTGTCATTTTCTACTAGAATGAAAAGACCAAAAGAAAATGTCTTCCTGGTTGGACTATGTTTGTTAGCAGTAAATGCAATAATCACAGTTCATATCGTATGGTTTTTGGGGAAAATCACTAACCAAAATTAGTTTTACTCCTTCGACAAATAACAATGCTAGTAATACACAATTGATCCCAATAATAAATGGTATGGTTGTAAAGTATCAAATACTTGAAAATCTTTTCATTTTTTAGTCTTTAGTGGCATAACTTTGCATTGTCAACCTCAAATATATCGTACTGATCACTCTCCAAAATCATTCGTTACCAGTGATTTCAGTACAGATTTCATCCTTGATTTAGTTGTGACTAATTACGAAGATCATACATTGAATGTATTGTTGGGTAATGGACTTGGAAGATTTCAAAATCAGTAAGTGTATCTAACAGGCAATGGATCTTATCCATGGGGAATCGTAGCTGTCGATATGAACAGTGATACACTGTTAGATTTGGGTATGTCTTGATCTTTTTAAAACTATCTTCGACAATCTTAGAAACATCGTTTGTTTTTGCCATTGATTGAATCTTAAAAGTCAAACTATAAGCAATGCTTTCGCTCATAATTTTATACTTTTATAGTGGTTACTTTATCTGGAACGACTACTTTTGCTATCTCACATGTTTGCGTTCGATACTATGAATGCCACACCGAGTGCGATTGAACTGCTTGATGTAGATATTAGCGGAATTCTTGATATGGCTGTTGGGAATCAGCAAACAATATACTATTCTCCGAGTGAGTTTTGCCGCTATGTGATTACTGTATTCGAATTTATTCTGGTTCAGATGCAGTATTGTATCCTGTATATCGAAATCGAAAACTCTATGATATCTTCGTAAACACAGGTAATATGTCAAGTGTAGTCGAATATAGTTTCAATCGTCGTTGCTGATTCGAATAATAATGATGGATATGATGATTGTCGATGCAGAAACAAATGCTATTCAAGTTTTGTTATGTGGAAGTTGTAATGAATAATTCCCATCTTTTGTTCGATGTTGTCGTCATCTCGCGAAAAATATGATCATTCTATATATTAATTACTATTCACCTTCAGTCACACTTCTTAACTAAGTTGCAGGAAGAGTGATTTTCCGCAAGAAGTATCGGATTTAGATGAGTATTCTTTTTAAATATTACAGAAGAATGAAGACTTGCATTCTCCATCTGATACAGGTGCTCAAATGAAGGTGATTTCCCACTATCAAAGAAAAAACAGAACGATGGTAAATTCATGCCAAAAATTGAGCTGTATATTATTGCACCCTCTAGAATGATCGATTCTATATGCTACATGTAAAACAGATAAAATAAGACTTTTCTCAAAAATAAGTGATATCCACTTATAGAAATCAAGAATTTACTGGATACAAATGTGATGACTATTGTAAAAACAAGTTGTGTCAGTCGTTCTGGATGATATTTCTCTAGTTTTCTTCTCTTTTTCAAATAAACGTAGTACTGGATTAATTGAAAACGAACCCGACACATCCAAGACCAAGAATAAAAACCGTCGAGTTTTATCTTAGCTAGATTATTCATAGGATTCGCTAAGCTTCAAGCAATCATTTAATTCTTGAAAGTTTTCTTTTATTGCAAGTAAGACACCAACGCATAATCACATTGAATACTAATTGATAATCAAGCATTAAAGAATTTAATATTCTCTTTTTTTGGAGGATTTCATTCATTTACCATTTTATTAGTACTAGAATTCTAAAGAAATCTGTAAAGATCATGACTTTGGACATTGAATTTGCACTGAATACAACTGCACTTGTAATAGGTATACAAGCATGTCCGGTAACAACAGTGATTTTGAATCGAATTCTCTAAAACATCTGTTATGATTATGATCGTATCAAAAAGCAAGACCGAGCGATCATCGGTCACTGTACAAATCTTTATGTATCGTTGAAAATATTTTCAATACCTATGTCGGCGAGTACGAACCCGATCCAAAAATAAGTCATTGGAATTTGATAGAAAGTGAAAGCAGGAATTCTTTGAATGAAGGCAGTAACGGAAGTCATCCGATTTTCTCCAGAACTCAAAGGAATCGACCAAAACCAGTCACAGTATTCGTTTCAAGAATTCCTGTTTTCAATTTCTATCAATCTCATGTTTTTCCTGTTGGTTCTTGAGGGAATCACACGAATACGAGTACCAGAATCAATGATCTCAGTAGACTATACACGAACAAGCTAAACTCTAGCGCCCTCTTTCTTTAGCTAAATAATAAATAAACAAATAAATGATTTTTACGAAAGTATTTTATATTTGAAGAAAAAAATCACATTTTTATTCTCATATAAATTAGTGTGAGATTTCTCAGAAGCAAGATGAGGCTCAATATATGAACTGACTAATGAAATATTAAATGAATGATAGAACCAAAACTGGTTGATTTATGGTTATCAATTTCAATCTTTTTATGAACAATGGCTTCTTCAATAACACCGGATGGAAACATCTCTCTTGCTTCTGTCGCCCCGGGATCGAATAATAAACAGAACGCAGTTAATGATGTAGTAGCGGTGAAAACAACGATTCCTGGAACGCTGATTCCTGAAGCTGCATTCCGCTAATTTCCGACGAAAATATACAGGAAGCCGCCGTATTCTCCGGCTGGGAATGCGGCATAAAACTCCGATAATTGTGTCCAGCTAAGGGTTTTGACCAGTTCCGAGCAGAATTAATTAAATCAAGTCTTTGGATCCTGGAATACTGCTTCCACGGAATGTCGCGGAACTGATAGTTTTTCTGCCGGGTTGTTCGACCTGGGAAGTCTATACTTGCGTTTGATTATTCTTTTAATCAAATAATGTTCAATTTAGTTGGCTTCAAACTCGGCAAAATTATAAGTGTAGAAGATAAACGTCATTATGTTGCATTATTCTTTTTCAAGTTAGAACTAAAAAAATTGAACTTATTATTCTCTTTTCTGTAAGAAAGGGTTATAGCGACATAAATACAGTCGTGAAAATGCATAAAGTTTGTTTGTTTGCATAATCCAATCAGATTGCAGCATATTATAAATCAATGAAATTTATCTATAATCATCAAAGATTGACCACTGATGAGGTAACTGAGGTCGAGGATCTCGAATCCGATATCAGTTCTTCGAGACTTCAAACAGCTAATTAGTTAATTATTAATTGGGCAATGAAAAATTTTTTGGTTGTTGAGTAAGACTCGACCGAAGGGTAATCGGCGTCGAAGATATCGAATCTGGTATTCGTTTTTCTGTAGAAAAATTCTGTTCTGTTTTTTCAGAAAAAGTACGATTTTTTGCAAGGAAGATTTTTTTGTGGGCGATAGTGTTTGAAGCAGCAATATGTAGAATAAAAACAAATAGCTGATTAGCGTCCGCCGGCTGGATACTCATACTCTCATCAGTATATTGATAACATTACAATTATATAAACAGCTATATTACACAAACATTATCTGCTGCTAACTACTCGAAATAATAATTACTTCCTCTAACAAATGCTGTTTTGGGCAGTCACAATGGCACAACATTGGTGATTCATTAACAGGGAATGAAAGGAAATGGTTTGATTGAATTTGAAGGGGATTTTAAGCTAGATGAAAGAATGAAAGTTGGACATGTAACGGCTAGCCGCGAGTGGCCGACCGGAGGTAGATCGACGAACGACCAGGAGTTTGTTTGGGTGGCTTAGAAGAGATAAGATAAGTGTAAGTAAATTGACTTTTGATTGTAAATAGTGGGAAGAGAGTCGATTAGTAAATCTTTAGAAACAGTGTTCCTTTTGCTTACATCTTTGGACAAATGAATTGAAAGCAGTTTGACATCAATAAAGTAGAAAAGGATTAAAAGAAAAGAATGTGCATAAAAGTGGCTTTAAATCGAAGCGGATTAGAGTGAGATACACGTTAGAGTTTTTATTTGAGTCTTGTAATTCTTTCAGAACAGGGTCAGCGAATCCAGCAGATGAGCGCTACTTGTTGGTAGTAGCAAACGAAACAATTAAGTTTATTTTTGACTCAGATTAGCAAATACATTCAATGAAAACTAATTTACAATAAAGGAAAATATGCATTATAATCTTTCAAGCCAAGAGATATAAGTAATATCAGTTGTTCCAATCTCAAGTCAGGTAAGATGATGCTATTGAACGATTTCATTCGACTGAATTACTACCAGATGATTTCTCCACATTATTTGACTGCGGAGTAGTATTCCAAATACAAAAGGTTTTTTACCAATGGAAAAGCTTTAGCTATTCTAAGAAAAAAGAACATATTCAAAAGACGCCTAGTTAGCTACATATAGCTCAATAACGTAATTGAACACGGTATTTGTAAGTATATTGTCAATATAGCAAACCTTTCCAAAGTCAAAAGGGTAACGTATATACATGATATGTAATTGAGAAACGACGGGTAATAACACCTGATATTTCGTGATATCCAATATTCATGAAATTTCATTTATAAGATGTATTGGATTCATCCCATGTTGTCTGTTTTTAATTCCCTGAGAACGGATGACGTATGTATACGTCTGGGTTGAAATCAACTCATAATTTATTTGAGTATACTATTTACGATATTTTAATGATCTATGCCACTATATATATCTCACTAATGCATTATACTATCATTCGTATAGTGACCTCTTTCATCTTTTTTCTTTTTGTAGTTATATTCATCACTTCTAATTTTTCGCTATGTCATAGTCCACCGCTATCATTTATCGTCTATTTTTCATTTATATTCGCACACATTGTCTCTTGCATCCACCAGAGTGTGTAAAGTTTTGTTTGCTCTATTAAAAATAATCCTGACCTCAAGGGGTTAATGTTACCAGTGAAATCAAATCGTGGAAAACAATTTTAGTAAGAGGGACTATGAATGCGCATCAATTAAGGAATAAAATAGATTTTCAGGTAAATCACATGAGTAATCTGTATTTCAGCAAAGGAAAACCGATGCTGAAGAACTAGAACAATGTAGTTCCATTCATTCCATAATTTATTGCAGAAAGCATAGAGTAAAATATTATGAAACCTATATAACATAGCACGCTTTACATAAAATAGTATCCTCCACAGCCAAATAATACATCAAGTACTATTTTTGCCCTTCGTTGTAACTGCTCGCATTTGTATATCACAGTTATTATATTGTAAGAAACTAATCGGAAGTTAGCTGATAGCAGGGCTATGGATGTTTTAAAGTAAGATACTACAGCGTTCTTGTAGATTTCATAATTATCGTTAAAACCATCTGTTCAGGGATATTGAAAAGCGGTTTAACTTTTCCAATAAGCTAAACGTCTTGTTTCCTAAGAGAATCAATAACATTTAGTGTTTCGAAGGTTTTCCACGTTTTCTTACTTATTAAAATACCATGGGGTAATCAATTCATCAAAATGAATTGGCAGCAAATTGTTAGAGCGCCTCGATGAGGGAGCTGTCATTCTATTTATATGAAAGATGGTGAATGTTCTAACTCACCCTTCAACACAAAAACCAGATACGCAGTTTAGGGATAGCAATTTAACTTAACTTTAAATGTTCTAGTTAACGTCACCTCTGCAGTAAACCGTAGCTCAATTTTATAGTTTTTGGCTTTAAAAAGAAATCAAAGATCATGTGACTGTTTTTCCAGGTTGAGAAACGATCATTTGTGTTTTTGTTTTATCTATCATCGAATAAGATTTGAAAAATGAAACAAATACACTGATGGATGCTGCATGAAGCTCTATCAACAAACTATATCGTCGAACTTATTACAATCATCTGTTCTTTTTAACTAAAAAGCGTCAAATGTTGCAAAACGATCAGTGAAAACTGACTGGGTAACATTTAGTGTTCTCGAAGACAAAACATACATAATCAAAACAGATCTCTAATCTAAGCT